GGCGGGAGGGGAGTGGGGCGCTCCCGGGCCGGTACCTGAGGGGAATGCGGTGTGTAGGGGCCGGGCCGCTCCTCAGGGGAGCTCCGGAGTGGGGACACGGGCTGTTCCCAGAGGGGGATGTGTACGTGCTGAGGGCTCTTCTCCGCGGGGACAGGGCCGTCCCTGAGGGGACATGGCGTGGGCGCAGGGCCGTTCCAGGGGTGCAGTGTGGGGACAGGGTGGTCCCTGAGGGATGGGGACAAGGCAGCTCCACAAAGCGGTACGGTATCAGGACAAAGCTCTTGCCCAAAGGGAGGTATGGCTTCAGGAGAAGACTGCTGCTTGGGCAGCTGAGGATGAGGCAGTTGGCGTTCAGCTGCTTCTCAGTGTTGCTGTTGAGGGGCAGGTAAGTCCTTGACCACAGATACGGCAGCACCAGGGGTGTCAGGGCAGGGATTCTACTGAAGGGGACATAACGGGACAGACACAATGCTGTTCCTGCAAGTGAGAGGTCAGCCAGGTAGTGCAGCAACATCTATTCCTACTCTGGTATCCCTTGCCTTAGATTTTAGCAGCACTGAGGGGATTTCATAGAGATTATTTGGTTTCCATCCTTTTCGATGCATCCCTTGATAGATGCATAGACAGTACATTACTGGGAAGTAGCTCCCTACCATTTTCTGACAGTGGCAGGGAAGTAGTTTCATAGGGTGAATCAGCAGGAAAAGAATTCCAGAGTCCTGTTGCCGTGTCTCTGCATCCTCAGTGCTTTGGGACACATTCTTGGCAGACCTGATTACTTTACATTTGTAATTAATGGTTGTTTTCCCCACCACACCTAAATGAAGTCTACAACATCTTCATGTCATTCTGTTTTTTTCACATCACCACAGGCAGCAGCACAGTATCTGTAAAGTATCTTCGAAGTGTACAGGAAAGCCTCTTTTTTTTAAAAAAAATATGTAAAATTTGAGCAGAGATCCGGATGCAGGCCTCATGTAATAGTTATCTGACTAGCTGACTGAGTTGGTGGGATGTCAGTATATCCTGTACACAATGGCAGGATTGGCAGGAAGTCAAACCTGAAAGAAGGTGGGATTTGCTCCTGTTAGGCGCTTTGCTAGGAGCATTGCGAGAGCCATTAGCTTTGATGTGTAACTGCTCCCTGCTGGTGGGCCTGACGGACACGTTTCCCCAGAAGTGATTCAGGAGTGATTCAGAGGTTAAGGTGTAGTTAAATGAAACACACTTGTTTGTAGTGTCTATTAATTGACATTGACTGATTAATGATTGTCCTGATCTTTCTCCCTGGAATTAAAAGGAAATATGTGGACCTTTAATTACTTTAAAATTACTTTTATCGTGTGTTTTGTCCTTACATTTCTGGAAGGTTTTTTTAACATCTGATAATATATTGTTTCAAAAGGTTATACAGACTGCTTTCACTGAGGAATAAAACATACTTCCCAAACGGTACTGAGCTGTGCTAGACCTGTGCAGTTGAGCCAAGTTGAGCTGTATTTGAGTTGTAGAGTCTTTTTTCCGCGAATCAAGTGGATTAATACCACAGTTGTTCTCCAAGCAAATAAGAGAAAGGAGATCTTATGGCTTGAGAACATTTTTTTCGAGTAGTGCAGGAAGGAGTGAGAAATGTAACTCCTGTGACTGGATTGGTGGGAAACAAAACACCTCAACAAATGCTGCAGATCCAGTGAGGGAACTTACAAAACACAGATACAAGCAATGGAATACATGTATGTGAATGTGAAAGAAGTGGGGAGTAAGGACGTTAAATCCCTAGGGAAGAGTACATAAGGCAACAAAAGAAATCTGGGAGAAGTATTGGTAAAAATACATGAAACAGAGAAAGTACTAAGAAAACCCAGAAGATGAGGAACGAAAACAAAACGAGGAAAAAGACTTTCTTTCTCCAGGACTCTTGGAACAGTCAGTTCTTTCCTGAACAGGAAAGATGAAACCATATTAGCAATATTTTATGCATCATCAGATCAGTTCAGTATGCACACTTCTGCTTATCGATGTATATGTATGTGTATATATTTAAGTATGTATTTTTTTTCCTTTCGGTAGAATTAATGATGTTAATCATGGCTGCTGTAAAGTACTTAAGAGGTAATGCCCCAGGCTAAGTGTTAGAAAACAGGGAAATAAGCCAGTTAGGGTGAGACTGCTGTGCTAGAATGGAAACAAGAGAGTCAAGAAAGTCATCAGTGTCACAGTTGTGTTCTGAACACTTCGCTGGGTAAAAAACTGGCTGGACGGCCGGGCCCAGAGAGTTGTGGTAAATGGAGTTAAATCCAGTTGGCGGCCGGTCACAAGTGGTGTCCCCCAGGGCTCGGTTTTGGGGCCACTCCTGTTTAACATCTTTATTGATGATCTAGACGAGGGGATGGAGTGCCCCCTCAGTCAGTTTGCAGACAACATGCAGTTGGGTGGGAGTGTTGATCTGCTCGAGGGCGGGGAGGCTCTGCAGAGAGACCTGGACAGGCTGGAGCCATGGGCTGAGCCCAACTGCATGAGCTTCAATAGGGGCAAATGCCAGGGGCTGCACTTGGGCCACAACAACCCCCAGCAGCGCTACAGGCCTGGGGAGGAGTGGCTGGAGAGCTGCCAGTCAGAGAGGGACCTGGGGCGGGTGATTGACAGCCAGCTTAATATGAGCCAGCAGTGTGCTCAGGGGGCCAAGAAGTCCAATGGCATCCTGGCTTGCATCAGGATTAGTGTGGCCAGCAGGGACAGGGAAGGGATCTGACCCCTGTACTGGCACTGGTGAGGCCGCACCTCGATTCCTGTGTTCAGTTTTGGGCCCCTCACTACAAAAAGGCCATTGAATGACTCGAGCGTGTCCAGAGAAGGGCAACGAAGCTGGTGCAGGGTCTGGAGCACAGGTCTGATGGGGAGCGGCTGAGGGAACTGGGGGGGTTTAGCCTGGAGAAGAGGAGGCTGAGGGGAGACCTCATCGCCCTCTAGAACTACCTGAAAGGAGGGTGAAGAGAGCTGGGGATGAGCCTCTGTAGCCTAGTAGAAAGGGACAGGACAAGAGGGAATGGCCTCAAGTTGCGTCGGGGAAAGTTCAGACTAGATATTAGGAAGCATTTCTTTCCAGAAGGGGTTGTTGGGCATTGGAATGGGCTGCCCAGGGAGGTGGTGGAGTGCCCATCCCTGGAGGGGTTCAAGAGTCGGGTCAATTTGGAGCTTAAGGATATGCTGTAGGTGGGAACTGTGCTAGGCGAACGGTTGGACTGGATGATCTCCAGGGTCCTTTACAACCTAGATGATCTGTGATTCTGTGTGTGATTGCTTAGGGAGGCATAGGATTACTTTTTGTTTTAAATTACTCAGTAGATAAACCATTATTAGGTGAGAAAATACAGTAAGAAAATACAGTAAGAAGGACCCTTCAACTTTCTGTAGAGAGATATGTTCAGTAGTTTGGACAATTCGCTTAGCTTTTGTCCTTTTTGTAAGATAGATGTAAGTCTTATCTATCTCCCAAAGGCATTTTGGTGCCTCTTGAAACAGAAGCACAATTTATTTCAAAAGCAGAGGCTTACATTTCTTCCTGTGTCTGTTCATAACAATGCAGAAGACACACAGCTATTTTCTATCTGTGGATAAGAATAGGGCACTGTCCCTTTGTCCTCTGCATTCAAGGATATACCATCCTCTGTCAGTTTGGGTTTTTTTCTTAAATCTTGGTTTATCCTTGTTGATGCCTAAACCCCCTTTGTTATCTTCCAGAAGCTTTGGTCATCACTGTGGAATTCCTGGTATGAGAAAGCAGAGCGTCAGGGTAGAGAGAGGATCCTTGCTGAACTGCTGTAATCATGAAGACAGTGATTTTAATTGTCCTAATCATCTTCACTTTGCTGTCTTCAGGTAAGGCTGATGCAGAGAGGGAAGGAGAAAGGTGACCTCTGGATGGATTACCAGAATACAAACTCTAACATAGGCTTTGGTTTTGTTTTCTTCTGTGCAAAAAGTTTCAGCTAGAACTGTGTCTGTGATTTCCATTTGCCTGTATTTTTCCTGTTTGATCATTGACAGATGGTGACCCTGTTAGTTTTGAAGCAGCTTGATGTTTCTTAGTAATTCAGTGAAGGTTTGTTTCCTTTGAATAGTTGAGATCTGTGTGCTCATTAATGCTGTCAGAATGAATCAGTGTATTTCAAGCTGCTCCCCTCTAAAACCACAATGGGTTCATTTTGGAAATGTGCTCAATTAGCGTCAGAACAAGTGGCGTACTAATGTCTGATGCTATGCTCAAAGAAATAAAACTTCAGTGTTTTAATTGTAAGCATTATTTATTCCAGGCAATATTTTTGTTTAATATTAATAGATCACCAGACAGCCAAATGCTCAAACATCTGGAAATGACAATGTTACAGATGGTGTAGTATTTTCTATGCATTCAATCCTGGTTTTCATTACATGGTATAAGATTCTTTCAAGTTACATAACGGCATGCTGGTTTTATATATAATAATTTTTTTTTTTCCCTCCTTAAATGTATAGTATTTTCTTGAGATCTATATGATCATATATTTCAGAGTAGAAGGCATTTATTAGGAAGAATATAACATAGTACATCCAAGATGGAATAACTGGAGCCTAAAGCAAAAGAGGAAATTTTGTTGACATGTCTGGACTCCAGCCTTAAGATGTAGCTTTATAGTCAGTTTAAACCAAGTAAACCCCGACTCCTGCTGGAAAAGGAGGTTTCACTTTCTCCACTTCTAATTGCATCCTCCTAACCTCTTCTTTCTGCTGACATTGTTCTGGGGCTTTTTGTATTTGGTTACCTAGTTTTCAGCTGGAAAAAGACCTGACAACTGACTAGTTCAGTTCTGCAGTGTTCCTGTGCAGGTTATTTAATCTCTTTGTTTGGCAACCAAAAATGAATTCTTACTTCTTGCTTGAAAGAGGTAGGATTTTGAGGATTTTGTTGTTAATGTTTATTCAATACTCTGTTCAACGTAGTACATGATTCTTCATTGTCAATAACCAGATCGTCCCTAGTTTCTGTCTTTCATAGTGGGTGTTTTCATGGAAGAGAAACCCCTCCATCTTGAGGGAAATCCAGCAAGTCACTTGTGATTGCTGAAGAAATAGATACTAGATTGTTTAAAACCAGAAGAAGGTCCGAGTGACAGAATTGCCATCAAAATTTCAAATAGTCCCAGATCCTCACCTCCTGCACTGAAGTGTTTGGTTTACTCTATTATAAAGTACCATTTAATTACTAATTTCTTCCAACTTAAAATTTTCACACTTCTCCTCTGATCTAAGGTTTTCTGACTCTGGAGCTCTAATGTGGGTCTGAATTTAAAATCAAGTCATCTTTGTCTGGAAAGAAATGGGAAGGAACTACTATTCTAACAAAGCATGTAGCTCAGTGCTGTGAGACACCTGGGACTTGCAATGCCAGTTATTGGCTGTTTAAAAAACAACAATCTCCTCTCTAAAGACTAAATTCAACAAAGCTAAAACAACTTGATCCCTATCAACATCCTCCCTCTATATTTCTTGTTCTCTTGCAGGCTTAGTTCTGAGTTTTCTAGAACTTTGTAACAGAAATATTAAGATTGGTATGGATGAATTCTGCACAGGAATATGTGTGTGAAAGCACCAGAGGAAACAGAAGATCAAAGTTTAAGAGAATGGCCTGTATTGATAACCAAGGACACAATTAACAGCAATAAAACTGATAAACCCTGGGGAATGCATTGTTTCATCAAGATTAGAAGGTCTGTTCTCTGCTAAGGTCACATCACAATTGATTTGTTAGGAGAAAAACTGCAGCCTGATAACAGGAAGATGTTAACAAGGTTATCCTGCACTGTAAGTGCCATTCCCCTTCTGGCTGTCCCAACAGGAAAACAGACCATAGCCTAAGGACGTCCTTGCCTTTGTTTCCTCATTTTGGGTGGCAACTTTGCCTAAAATTCATGGAGGATGAAGCAAGGAAGATTCTGCGGCAAAAGGTCATGCCATAAGAATTGTTGTTTTTTGAAAAATCTACCTAAAAGCGAGTTTTTTGCTGCCAGTGAAGAGGAAGCGAAGTGACATAGTAAAGATTCAACAGCAAACATTCATAGTCCTCCCTGTTGGGCAAAAGTGATCTTGGTCAGGCTGCTTGGGCTTATCTCTTGGGTGCCTGTAAGTATGTGGGTGTGTGAGTGAGCAGAATCAATTTACTTTTGAGGTGAGGTTAAAAAAAGTAAAATAACCTCCTCTTCCATAAGGTCTTAAACTGAGAGGTGTTTTTTTTTTTTCTCTAAATCCTATAAATCTTGATTTCTTTTTGATCCTACAGGGAAGAAATTCCGATGGTGCACCCTTTCTGACCTAGAGCAGAGAAAGTGTGCTGAACTGTCCAAAGCACTTACGGCTGTGCTTCCCCTTGCTACTGCCAATTCGTTTGCTAGGATTTCTTGCATCAGAGCCCACAATACATATGACTGCATTGATAAAATCAGGGTGAGTTCACAGAGATTTTTAAAACTGTTTTTGAGTCCAATCCTCTTTTGAAGAATTAACTGGTAAACAGAATCCATGGGAGAATAAAATGATACTGAAGTGATGGTATTGCATATACACAGTGCCTTGAAAGGCAAGAATTAAAACCTGTGAGCATTCTACTAGATGTACTATTTTACCCCAGCTAATGTCCTTGCAAGCTCCAGGAAATAATTCAAAAACTGCTTGAAAATAAATGGACAAAACCAAACTACCAAATTAAAACTTGCTCAGAGCATTCCTCTTGCTCATGGGTTTTGGTCCTACTCTGACTATGATGAATATTTTCTCTTCCCTTAATTCCCTGCTAGTTTTAGCCCCTAGTCCATCTTTCCTGAAGCAAGGAGCAAAGCCTTTTTTCCTATCTTTAATTTGAATAAAATTAGATATCAAACCTTTTGTAAGTGTAAGCTCTCGTAGTTGTCCATTTCTGAAATGAAATTTTCATAATGCTATATGATTTGAAAAAAAATCACCCATGAAGAAGGAAGATAAGCATCTGCTGTATAATAATTTCATTTACATACCTAAAACTTGGTTGGAATAGAGAATTTCAGTTTCCATTTTCATTCAGTCCCAGCTGCCTTCAGTGGAGTCTAAATCTGACCTGGAAAACAAAACAAAGAAAACCTTTCTTGTTGGTTCAGGGAATAATTTCTTTTGTGTTTTCTTTCAGTCCTGCAATCCTAGTTAATAAATTTCAGTTCCTCTTTCTGGGTTATGGAAAGATTATAGCCAGGAGAACTCTGAGAAGGATTTGGGGTCTTGGGGGAGCAGTAGGAGGAAATAGGGGTTGCCTTTTTTCTTCAGTTGGCATCAGAATTGAGTTTTTGGAATGCAAGGCCCAAAAAAGAGGTGAGAAAGAACTGGTATTTTTTGAATTAACTCAGCCTTCATTGGTAACATTTTACCATGCTTAAGAGCAGGGATTCAATTAAAAATTAAGCAAATGCTTGTAAAAATCACCTGTTACTACTTCTCAGGCAGAAACTGGTCTTGAAGCTGTTTATTTCCCTGTAAGCACATTTGTTTTGAGGGTTTTGCTGTTGTTTTTAAGGTGAATAAAGCAGATGCTGCCTCCTTGGATGCTGGAGATGTTTACTCTGCTGTAAAGCTCTATGGTTTGACAGTGGTGGCAAAGGAGATCTATGATCAAGGTAGGTTCATAAAGCAAAAGAATAAACTGTACTTCTGATTTGGATAATAAATTGCCGTGCAGTGAAAGGCACAACTCAAGAATTCTTGACAAAAACTCTGTATGTTTTCATTAACTTCATAGGAGTATGTAGGTGACTAACAACTGTTTCTAAAATACTTAAGTGATGATGAATAAAATACCAGTGGTGTTTTGTATCTAGTAGCCTTTCTGCCTATAGTAATGTCACTATGACAAAGTGTATCTACTGCTGCCTGCAGCACAAGTGTACGGGAGTTCTACAGCATGTAAGAAGGGCTTTATTCCATCGGTGTCAGTTCTTATACCATGCTTTTTACTAGTTTAACTGAACATTTACTAGCGGTTCTTTAAGAGATTACTTCTCTCATTAATTAATTCTCTCATTCTCACCCTAAAGAGACACAAATATAAGGTGAGGAATCTTGTAATGGTAAGATTCCTCTTCTTTCCTGGAAGACCTGAACAGTCTGTGCGATGAATGATTTATAAGGCAAAAATAAATAAATCTGAGCCAAATAAATAAATCTGAGCCAATAAATAAATCTGAGCCAAAATCAAGTATATGGTAGAAAATACTTGTGGGACATGAATCTGAGAAGGAAGCCAAATTAGCAGATAAATGTAGGAAGAAACTAATAAGGGGACAGTATGGGAACAGAGGTGAATTTTGTTTTGGCTGAAGAACCATGAAATCCTAGTGGAATTGATACGTTCCATGTGGAAAGTATGTTCTGAGGATATGGCATAGGAGTTATTTCCATTACAATACCTAAACAGTGTGATACAAACGTTCAAAATTCTTGAGCAGCAATTGCATCGGATGATGGAGTGGGATCATCTTGCAAGCATTTTCCACCAGATTTTTACATTCTTGCTTTGGACATCACTTGCATCACTCAGTTTGACAAGGTGCCATGTAGCCAGTATATGGTAAAGCATATGTGCCTATTTTTCATGCACCTAAGAGGTTTTTTCTCCTTAGCCATGTTCACAGAAGCGGTTGAACTCCTGTACACAGATGGAAGCTGTAGAATTGGGATTTAGTTATTCCTGTTACGTATTTTGTGCTATTGCAGGAAATTGCGTGTTTGCTGTGGCCATTGTCAGACGAGGAACTCTGGATATCCAGAGGCTACGAGGTGCACGCAGCTGCCACAATGGAGCCAGGTGGACATCAGGCTGGAATATTCCACTTGGCTTTCTCCTTGCAAGAAATGATCTTTCCTGGGATGAGGCGCAGCCTCTGAGCCAAGGTGGGCGATAGGAGCTGTAGGGCTGTGTCTCTGCCCTCAGAAAAAGTGAGTGACATGCAAGCAGATGTAGGATGAACTGAGCTGTGTGGAAGCTGAAGGGCTTTGTGGTTGAGATATCCTCCTGGCATGTTTTTGCTACTGGCTCTTAGCTCTTGTCAGAACTTTTCTAGTGACCTCAAAGTGGCAGAATTGTTACCAAAAGAGGAAATCTTTGTGTTTTGTATGCAACAGGGAACAATTCTTTACATATCTAGCCACCACAAAGATGGTTTTAAACAAGTGAAATTTGATCACTCCGTTTTCAGCAAATGTTTCAACTTTGACATTTAGACAATGAAACCACATTTGCTGATTTATCTTTTTTTTTTTTTTTTTTTTTTTTTTAAGCACCACAGTCCTAGTTATGTTAATGATATGTTTGGCCCCTTTTCCTTCTTCTATTTTTTCTGATTTGACTTTTTTTCTTTCTTCCCCCCCCCTACATCCGCAGTAATCAGTGAGTATTTCAATGCAAGTTGCATCCCTGGTGTTGGTGTTGCTGCTCCTCAACTGTGTGCTCTCTGCCAAGGACAAAAATCCTATGTCAGAGACAAGAACCACTTCTGTGAGACAAGCGGTAACGAACCCTTCTATGACTCTGAGGGAGCCTTCAGGTGAGCTCTGTGACACTGGTACTGAATTCACCTGGGGAGAAAAAGAACTTTAAAGGGAGAAAAAGTCAGGTGACATGTTAATAGGCTGGCATTTGTCTTCCTGCAGGTGCTTGAAGAATGGAGTGGCAGATGTTGCCTTTTTAGATCATTTAACAATTATGAGTGCCACAGGTAATCCTAGAAACTCAGGTTCCTTTTAACCTTTGACTGTGCCCTTTCCTGCATGGGAGTTTGGGGGATATGCTTATGTTTTTTGTTGTTTCCAGGGAAAATTTAGTCCTTGCAAGCAGTTCAGTGATATTTCTTGTCTCTCTGTGCAAGTCAGAAGGAAACAGAAGAGGAAAGACTAAGTGAGCAATAATTGCTCATAGGAGATTCTTAGAATGGGAGCAGACAGATGTTTTTATACAGGTGATTTCTCAAGCCTAAAGTCTCTGAGGCAGCTGTCAGTATTCGTGTTGCCTGAGTTACAAGATTCCTTTTAAAATTCAGTGTATTGAGCTGCTAGAATATGCAGTTCCTGTACAGCTGTTTAGTATTTTTAAACTCAGTCAAGCTCTGTACTGATGTTTTTGGAGGTGGTTAGCAGTAGTATTTGCAAGTAAGTATTTTTAAACAAACCTATTTACAGGGGTACAGCTTAATGAGTATTTTGGAGTACCTCTGGCCGAGATCCCTCTCTTTGTTAAGAGAAGAATATATCAAAGACAACTTTCTCAAGTGTGCTTGCTACACTGTGCTGCCTGCATAATCTTTTGAGCAGCCTCCTCTGAAAAATGTTTTACCTTCCATCTCTGTGCCTGCTGTCAAGCCATGTCTCACTTCATAGATTCATGCGTGTCCTCTTGTTTCAGAGTCAGAACAACAGGAATATGAACTCTTATGTCCTGATGGGACTACAGCTGAGCTGGCTGAATACAGCACCTGTAATTTGGGCAAGGGACCTGGCCGTGGTGTCGTCACCCGCCACAACTTCCAAAAGATCACCAACAAATTTCTTAGCATGGTCCAAGTGAGTGGATATCGTAAACTGTGTTTCTCCAGACACAGGTTTTTCTTCCATCTTTGGACATTACCACCCAGTTTGCCTTTTTTCTTGAGAAATTTATAGTTAGTGTGAACAAAGTACTAAAAATTAATTGTTCTGGGGAAGGATCCTGCATTGGCTTCTGGAAGAAGGTTCTACTTTTCTCTAAAGTGTTCCTCTGTGGAAGGTTGAGAATAAATAAATAAAGAAGGGGAAGATGCCATAACACCCAAGCTGGAAAATGGCTGATGATGTTTATCCTGTCCTGGAACTTAGTTGAATTCTTATGTAGCCGAGGGTGACGCATAGGTTCAGGCAGCGTTCACCTTTGTTCCTCTCTTTTTCTCAACTTATAAATAGTATCTATTACCTTGACATCCAGGGCTCTATTTGAAGCTGAACTGGAAATGTATATTTAAATGCAAATTTAAAGAATTTATGAAGCCATCTGGCCCTTAAAATAGTCCAGTAGCCAGTGAATAATTCAACCCAGTGGGCTGGGTTGTGCTGTCCAGTGGACTCTGGTAGACAGCAGTTGTACAAAATCTCTACTGAGAGATCTTCCTGTGCCTTTGTCTGTGCACTTATGAACACATACCTCAGCTGTTTTCCCCCATACATAGCAATGGCTGTGCAGCAGTGTTCCTAGTACACTTCTCAGTGCTTGCTTCTCTTCCAGTACCATCAGGCTGAACAGAGGTACTTTGCACATGGTATTTCCCAATCATAAAGCATACGATATCCTGCACCCCTTTAAGGTGCTGATCTTTATCACAAGTGGTTCTCATTCAGCTATACTCCCTCAGTTGCCTTTCCAGGGTAGGAGACATTGAGCAGAGCCCAATAAATTGGAATAACTAAGATGGGAAAAAAAATCTTCAAAAAAGTTAATCCTATAATGCTTTTAAGGACTGGAACCATCCACTCATTGCAGTGCCTGTGGACTTTGTACCACAGTGTGATGGAACCCTGAGTATTATGTTACAAACCATTGATATGAAGGGAGGGAAGGATGAAGCTGCCTGTTACTGGAAGGATGAGCAGATTTATTGCAATTAAAAGTATTGTTCTTGTCCTAGCGCCTCTTTGGGAGAAAAGGAAAGGAAAGAGCCAGGTTTGAACTCTTCACTTCAGCACCCTTTGGGGGAAAGAACCTGCTGTTCCGGGATGCCACTCAGCACCTGCAGCTTCTTGAGGAGCAGCTAGAGATTGCCTATGTCCTTGGTCTGGATTATGTAGCTCTCCTTAAGGGACTAGGCCACGAAGGTGAGGAGCCTTCTAGAGGACTGTAACTAAGGAAAAGGAAGAAAAAGTTCTCTTTCCATGTTATTCCTCCCTGCCAGGCACAAGTGCATAGACCTAAATTTCCCCTTAACAAAGAACAGATTGGCACATAGGTGACATGATCTCACTGTGCTCCTTCCTTCTAATTTCAGGGAGCTCTTTGGACAACAGTGTTGTGCGCTGGTGCTGCATCAGTGATGCTGAGCTTCGCAAATGTGAGGAGTGGGCACTGAGCATCAAATCTGACCCATTGGTCTGTGTCCAAGCAACTTCTATGACCAAATGCATTGAAATGATCAAGGTAGGAGAGTCCCTCTGGTCAGAGTGTATGTTAAGACCACAGAGGGTGTGTATGTCCTTGTCTGAGCTGAACAAGAGGAAAAAACAGCTTGTACACTAAAGGAACCAGTGGGAATGAGAGTCAATTTATACAGGGGAATTTCCAACCTGTGTGATAGTACAGCTGCTTGGTTACACAATTCATGCGAATCCTGTTTTTGTTATTTTCTATAATGCTGTTGGCAGAGTAGTGAGGCTGATGCGGTCACCCTGGATGCAACACACGTCTACATTGCAGGGAGGTGTGGATTGGTGCCTGTAGCTGTAGAATGTTATGGTAAGTTCTCATGTGACCTTAGCAAGAAGGGAGGGAGCACCACTGAAGAATATGGTTAAATTTCCACAGTTTTTGGTGTTTTGTGATAGAAGCAGAAATCAATATGTATGTCCAAATATTCTTCCCAGCTCTTCCAGTGACTGGCTCTAGCATTTGGTCTGGCTGTTTATGGTATCTCTTCTGTAAAAGGGACAGAGATGGTGACCTGGCTCAAGAGGATTGCAAGGTTTTTGATGGGGTGCTGCCATGTAATAGGAACAACAGCAGTTGCAGGATCCTTAACGGTTGTCTCTCCTCTCCAGGGAGAGATTGTGCTCCAGCTGCTGAGAGCTCAGAAGAAACAGGGAAACTAATTCATCTTAAGCATAAAGGTAAAGGACAACTTTGAGAAGGCAAAATATTTAGATTTTCCTGAGATTGCCTCCTGGCAATGTAGGAATGTCTTTGCATGTTGGTTTGGGAATGTTCAGTAGGAGCTCTTGTGCATGTTCAGTAGGAGCTTTACAGATAATGCCTGGCAGCCAGGACAAGAGCTTTGTGGCTAAGCAGAGTGCAGATCCTGTACTGTAACTGAAGATACCATGACAGGATGAGGGAGGGAAGAGGGGGGCTGTACCTGTCTGGAATACTTAATTGCCTTGGTATAACTGGTTGTTGTCATTGTTTTACAGCACTGCCGCCTGTTTATGCTGTTGCTCTCGCTAAGAAAAACGCCAAACAGATTAACATCCATAACCTTAGGGGAAGGCGATCCTGCCACAGTCACCTGTATAGTCCTGGAGGATGGTTATTTCTTTCCAGATACACAGTGGGAGCTCTGGAGAATGATACTGAGAACTGTGACATTGACTCTGGTAAGGGCTGCTCTGGGTTATCTGTTGACTAGACCACAGAGATCTGAAGCCCCAAATCTGGGAGTAAAATGGAGATGGGGCCATGAGGAGTGACCAGCAAGTGATGACTGCAGTCTCAGAGGGTACTGAAGCAGCTCTTCTTCCTACCTGACCATGAGAGATTCTTGACACTGTTTAGCTCTGTTCTTGCTAGCTATTAGGATGGAATTCCATGCCTGTCTTTTCCCATGTGTGAAGAGGCTTTGGAATACTTTACCTTAATCTCACCTTGTTTTTCTTTACTCAGTTTATCAGAATTACTTTTGGAAGGGGTGCATGCCAGGAGCAGATGGAAACCTGTGCAAGGTGTGCATTGGAGACAGTGAGGTGGAAGGTGCTCGAGTATCTAGCAGATGTGCTGCAAGTCACAACGAACATTACTATGGCAATATGGGAGCCCTCAGGTGAGCTTTTTGTCAGAGTCAGAAATGCAGAGCAATAGCCAGAATTGGCTTATTATTTTGCTGATGGTTTTCTCTGGAATTTGGGTGGGTTTTTTTAAGCAACTGCCTGTATAAGCTTTTGCTAGCATGTATTTTGTTTTTGTTGCAGTTGCTATGGGATGTTCAGCTGACTGATGATTTAAACCAGTTATGAAACCCTTTCCAGAGCAAGGCAATGCTTCCAAATATGTAAGGCTTAGAGTATTGATACAGATTAATTAAAGAGAAGGTATGAAGGTAGTTAGAAGGTCAGAGAGCAGAGGTGATGTCGTAAGAAGCAGTGTAGGGTACAGGAGGTAATTAAATAGACTGGAAATATTAAAAAAATTAGTTGAAGACAGAGGCAGAGAAGAATACCGCCTCTGTCTTCAACTAGGTGAAAGCAGTCTTATATATATACATAATGCATTTAGTTGAATTACATTCTCTTTCCTGGCTAGGCACAGGTAAGTCTGCATGGACATTGTGCCACAACTTTGACTTGGGAGCTGCTTTAAGGGATTGTCTTATCGAATACATGAACACTGTCCACTGAGATCTATACTGACATCACTGACTTGTTCCATATAACAACCAAGTAATTACAGACAAGAGGGATACTTCCAGCTACTCCTGTTTTAGCTTCAGATGACCGTCCAAATGTCAGCCATCCTGTAGTGGCTGTGTCTGATAACTTGATTTTTTTCCTACACTAGGTGCCTAGTTGGCAATCCCAGTGGAAGAAGCTTTGGAGATGTAGCTTTCCTGGAACACTCTAACCTACTCCAGAACATAAAGAGTGAGATGCAGATATTCTCTTTTCCTTTGAGAATGTTCATTAGCGTCAGTTACTTCCTACACAGTGACCATCACTCTCAAGGATCAGTTTTTACAGGTTTAATCTAGGTCCATGAAATTGTGTTTGTGACTGGAAAATTGCAAGAACCTTCCCGCATGTAGGTGTTCCAGTAAAGCTCAAAATTGAGATACTGTTCAGTTTTGGAGAGGAGAGAGAAATTGCACTAAGTGCAAAGACCAATGTGTGTGCTGGGGGTGGTAATCATCCTTGGAGACTGCACTAGTTTTTGGAGAGCTCACAGCTTTAAAAAGCAAGTGACTTCTCACCAGACCTTCTCCCATAGGCAGCAATGGTGCATGTACCCGTTGTTTTTAATCAGAGTTTCAAGAATAAAAGTAGCAGATAAGGGCGATGCTGTGGGCTGCTTGTGCTGGGAGATGTTCTATGGCTTCATCATGACAGGGCAGCTTCCTCACGTTGTTTCATGGGCATTTGTGGAATAAATTGTCCAAGTAGTTTAATAGGTGAAAGTACTACAAATTATTTTGCCTTTCACACTTTGTAAAACAACATTGTTAGTACACTGTGAAATGTTTAATTTCCCCTGGGAAATACTGATCTTTGCAACAGTCTAGCAATTGGATTTCGTTGATGAAAATGGTTTCGGAAGTAGCTTAAATCTCCTCAGTCTCTTAAATTATGCGTACTGCTCTAACAGCCAAAATATGCTGCCTTTTCATAGAGTTGAAGAAAAAGGGAGCCCCCATTTTGTTCAGCCTGATAAAGCACACCGAAATTCTATTTTAGGCAATTTCAGTGACAGAAGAGACTTTTCTAAGAGAGGAATCTCTAAAATCAAGTGGAGGTATAAGGGCTTGGAAACGCACAGGAATTCATGAAACAATGAGCGGTTTGTTTGCGGGAGCAAAGGACATGCAGGCTGAATTGTTTTCAGAAAGCAGTCTGATTACAGATGAAAAAGAGGCATGATAAGCTGTTCACATGCCTTGATATTACTACTTTTTAGTTGATATGTGCAGCTTAAGCTCACTGACCTGTTTCCTCCGTGAAAACAGTACCCTGGTCCTTATCGTTTCTAATAAACGCTGACATAGCATGCTGCATTTGTTTTGAAAATATTAAGTAAACTTCTTTCTCTCAATTTTTAACATTTTCCATGAGATTCACCCTGTCTTCTGCTTTCATTTTTTAAAAGGATTTGCTTTCACTTCATCTTCTTTTCAGATTTGGACAGCTCTGGCTGGGCAAAAGGTTATACCCCTATTGACTTTGAACTCTTGTGTCCGGATGGAACGCGTGCTGCAGTCACAGAATGGGCAGGCTGTAACCTTGGCCCCATTCCCCCCAGCACTGTCATGACTCGACCAGTCACTGTCACAAAAATCTATGACTTTCTAATGAAATCTCAGGTAAGAAGGTAACAAGGAAAAAGCTAGTGTGTTATCACTTGTTATGTACGACTGCTAAAAACCATTTCAAGATCAAAAGCTTTATATACCAAGTACATAAAGTTCCTCCAGGTCCAATATGAAAGAATTAAGAGTATGCGTAGAAGATTGAGAAAAGAATTATTTGGATTCTCTGAAGGGGCATTTTGGCACCAGCTGCCATTCCGCAGGGGTCATACTTTTGCTGAGAAATAAGCTGCTGCACAACTGCATCTTTTTGTATGAATAAGGACAGTGCTAAGTGAAAGTAGAACCTTTTTTTTCTGCTAGATGTTTCTATAAAACTGAGGGTCACCAGCTTAACCTTGCTATTTATGACCCAAGCTGTGAACCTCACTTATTTTCTCTTTAGGAATCTCTGGGAAGCAAACTGGATTCTGAATTCCACCTCTTTCAGTCGTGGAAGTATGGTGGAAGTGATCTGCTTTTCAAAGACACTACTCAGTACCTTGTTCATGCAAGTCACATGAGCTATCAGGAAATTCTTGGAGTGTCTTTCTTTCAGCTGGCAGAATTGGTGTTTAATTGTACACCTGCAGGTAATATCAAGTTCTTAACTCTGAATTAGAGAAAAATGCAAAGCAGGAAGCCTTCTGTGCATAGCTATTGCCCTGTTGTTTAGACTGAAAGAAGTATGTTCTACATAATCCTGTTAGCACAGTTTTCCAAGGAGTACTGTGTTTGGAGCTCCTTTAGAGCCTCTTATAACTCCTATCCAAAAGCACTGAAACTGGAGCTCTGCAGGAACAGAATAAACAGTACATTTCAGAGCAAATATGAGGTTATTGAAATAGGACTGGTTTATTCCCACCCTGAGCTTTCCCCCTTCAATTCCAAATATTAGTTCTGGGAAAAGGGAATGTCATGTTCATTTGGATATGCCAAACTTATGCCAAAGATAAGAAATTTTATATTTAATTCTTGAATTAACCTCAAAATAAATTAAATAATTACCTTTTAAAAAAGAGTACACTATAGAACTCAAGATCAAAACCTTTATAAACTTAAGGGATAGCTTTTTCGTTATTTTCCACAGAAGGCTGTAAGAAGTATGCTTTTAGCTCTGTCTAAAGCTGTCTATGAGCCAAGGTCAGGCTGTTTTGGGATCTGAAAATCTGGATTGAAGTAAATGAAGAGTCCAAGTTGTTAAAGAACTGCAATTCAGAAAGGGAATTTTACCTCTATTCTACTGTTTTAGTGAATAGTACCTGATGAATTTGTAATTTTTAAAGCTGATAGCATCTTTAAGTGTATACTTTCTTACTGGTTTGTAGGCATCTTAGACTTCTGCAAACAGGATATCTGTAAATCTTCATCAAATGACAGCTAATACAGAGACTTTGCATGGCATTTCATCACCATCAATGTTGAAAACAAGAAAATGTGCAAGTCCAACCGATCCAAACCAATCAGCAAGGAGACAGTCACCTCTAGAAATGTATGCTGAATACTCTCATCTTTTTTTTTTTTTTAAGCAGATTTTATGTTTATGATAATGTAATACTACTTATATGTCACCCCTTTCTTGTTTGGAGCATGGCATCATGTGGAACAGCACAGGCCAGTCTGCATAGCCTACAGCACAGAACTAGGATCATCAGTTCTGTACGGCTACTGTGGAGAAATCAGCGTTTCTGTGGAAATATAGCAGGGCCAGTACCATGGACTAAAATATGAACTGTCATGAGTGTCACGGGTTAGTTGGTAGCAGTTTACCCTGCTTGTCTTATAAACTGTTTCCATGTAGAAAAAAAACCAAATCAGCTGACATTTTGGTAGTTGCAGCATTGTCGTCCTCTATCCATGATTTCGGTTGCAGCTAGGGAGGCCTTGCTGAATACGCGTATATGCTATAGGTTGTATATGTAATTGCTATCAGTATAAGTAGTCTTTTCTGCTTTTAACTGGGAAGAATGTATTTGCTTTTTTAACCAAGGATTTATACTAGTAAATCAAAATATTTTTATCTCACAAATTAATGTATTAAGGCATCTAATAGCCAGCAGAACTGGATGCTTGCAACTTTAAGGTGAAGGAAAGCAATGGATATTCATCCCTGTCAAAAATGTCAACCATTACTTTGTAGTATTTTGGCACTTTGATTCTCTGATTCTGTGAAGTGTCAAAAGATGATTTATTGATTAAACAGCATTGGTTTTACAAGCAGAAACTGCCTGAACATGATATGGAGTGTTTTGAACAGAATGTATCATGTATTCATTTTTTACTTAGATAAAGTTTTTGGGTGGATGGCTCTTCATGGGCAGGGCTCATTTCAGTTTGCAAGAGTGTTATCACCTTCTGCTCCCATGTACCCTGAACCAGGCATGGATAAGATTTTTAATTTAAAAAAATAATTTAAAAATCCTTCACCCAAAACTTTCCAGTCCTTGCTACATATATTGTAGCTCTATTTACCTCTGCTAGCAATAAATGAGATGCAAATAATGAAAACAGGTCAGCTGCAATAAAGTCAATGTATCTGCCAAATAGAAAGTCAACAAATCTGCCAACATTAAAAAAGCCCTCCACCAAAACCAACAAAGCAAGGCAGCAGTATTCATTTGTAAAAAACACTGCTAAGAATACCTGGTTTTAAACAGTTCATTCCATGCCTAGATTATCTTTCCTGTTGTTTAATTTACTATTTCCTCCCCCTATTCACTTCATGAGAGAGAAAAATTTGCAGTCTGCCCAGTAACAAGGGTTTTGGATTCTGTGCATCTTAGCTGACTGTTCATCTCATTTGTCCCACTGTTTGACACTGACTAACCAACCACCAGAGAGAGGATGCAAGTTCAAACTCACATACCTCTCAGGGGAAAAGGGGAGAGCTAAACAGTGAATGAAGCAAGTCCCAGTATGGTAACTGACCAAAATCCTCATACGCTGCGTTGCAGGCAGCAAGCTGTAGCCCTGAAGCAGCGGGGGAAGAGTAGGATGCTTGCTTAGGTCTGTGAGAGGGGTCCCTTCCTTTCTTTACTGGAGCTTACACGCCATCTGCAGGACCCACGTAACACCGCGCTTCAGTCGGAAACGGGTTTAGGAGAGCGATGAATTGCATCTGCCAGCTCGGCTCTGGCCAGAGCAGCAGGCAGCTGAACAGCAATAAATTTAAATCTGGGTTATACACGAGATTCCAGGGATTGGAAGGGTGGGGAGCTGTTTCTTGGCATAGATGCTTAATAGGCCTTTTTGGTGTTCCAGTGCTTCAGCTTGCGTTTAAAGTGTCAGCCTGATGCTTTAAACCTGAACCAGTGCCCTGCTTCAGTTTTGAATCTCCCCCTTCTGAACATATCTGGCTGGTTCCTACTGCTCTGCTACCTCGGGAGATGGATGCTGTCTGAACCCTATGAACAGTAGCTGGGATCAGGCCTAAGATCCCTCAGGTCTGTTTCTGTTAAAGTATGGCTATGGATGAACACTGGAATTGCTGCTCCCTGCCCACCCGCAGCCCACCCAGTTACTTAATGGTGTTAATCTCTTTGGAGAGTTGACCTCTTCCCCCCACATATGCAAGACAGATGTAGCATGCATATTTACTAATACAAGCCTAAAGAAGGCCTTAAAAAACTGAGAGGTTCTCAGAAAAATTTATTTCCATAAATTAAAAACACACACAAAAGAAACAGTAAAAGCTTAGATTCACACAATATTGAACAGAAACAAAATGCCAAGAGCATGATGGAGGCTACTGGCACAAGTGTACAGATTCTCACTGAGCTATTTGTTAACTTTGTAGCATCATATAAATTTTTAATCCACAGTTACCATCCATATTCTAGAAGAGCACCTGGAACATAATACAAAGGCCCACCTCAAATCAAATACAATAAATGAGAAGTGCTTGCAAAATATCCAGCAAGCATCAGAACTCAAGTGTATGCAGCCACAAGGCCAGCCAGGCAAATGCTCTAACATATATTAAATAGCCTTAGCCCTTAGCTGCTCCAGTCATAGTATGATTAAAATAAGGTGTTGGGGGTTTTTTTTTGTTGTTTTTTTTTTTTTTTTTTTTAATTTAGCAAAGAGCTGCCTGGCTCTGTAAAACTTGCGACTAAGAGACAGTACATGGCAAAAGCTTCGCAATTCTTCTCAAGCTGCTGTAGTCGTCATCATTCTGTGCGTAGTATGTACAATGTCTTTCCATGATGATAAAAAAAAAAATCTTCACTGGAGTGGATTCACTTTATAAAAAGGCAAGTGTACATATCCTTCCACAAGGGATGTATGCAAGACCCAAAAATACGCATCCTCTATACTTTTTTCTTTCAGTTATCTGAGACATAAGCAGCTCAGACTGGCAAATACATAGCTTTTGCAGTCATCACTCCCAGTGTACAAGCAGCAGTCACAAGGAACAAGGCTGTTCCATGAGTGCTGTAAACAGGAACAGAGGTGGGAAAGGAAAACAGAAAAAGTGCAAGAGCATGACTGACATCTGTATGCTGGAGGGGGTGAAGAGATGCTTTGTTAATTAGCTAACATCTCTATCATCATACAAATACTAAACCAAAACAGAATAATGCTGTATATTTGGGCTTCCAGAAACTTAGGTCTGGGACAAGCTAGGCAACTGCAACGCCCATTTTGTAACTCCTCCAATTATTGTAAACAAAAGAGAATGGAGTGTTTTCTTTGCTCCGCTTTCTCTGCTGTAGCTGTTAAAAAAGCTAAGAAATGTTATTTCAAACCAATTAGAAACAAGACAGAGCAGGGAAGCAGACAAAAACAAATAAAGCAAGAAAAACCCCGTAACCCAAAGGAAAAACCCAAGACATTCCATGTTTCGAAGCACATTAGAGGTCTGAACTTTGCCTGGACCCAAGTTTCCTCCCTCCCCACCCATATCCTTGTTTCCTTTAGAGCCCCGTAAGGTTACTGCTCAACTGTGTCACAGCACTAGAAGCCTCCCATATTAATAGAAGGTGAATGAATGCTGTGTAATAATCCCATCCTATAGCATAGAACCATAAAAATATATATCTCACTCCAACTAGTCAATTAGGCTAATAAACCAGTATAGGGAAAGTTTCAAACATTTTTTTAAAGGCAGTCAACCTTTATTGTTTAGGGATTTTTACAAAAATAAAGAGGATCAATTAAAACGTTTTACAGCAGCCCAAATAGGTTAACCAGACCTTGCTGCTGAAATAGTATGGTAGTATGTTCAAAGTTTGCCTGCCTTGTTATTTTACCCTCAAAACTCAAACAGCACTAACTTTAAGTGTGCACTCCTCTTTTCTTCGGTCTTCTTGATTAAAAATAATTAATTAGCCTCCAAAACAGGAATGTAAACTTCTAGGAATCCCAGCACATAAGCTGAGAGCACAACGAGCCCAGACTACATTTCAAGACTCAGGCACACACAGTGTAATAATCCTCTTCCATTTCTCTACTTTCAAAGCTCTGGGATTCAACAGATCGTTTGTTAATTTTTCGTCTTCTGTTCAGTAACAGAAGTGGCAGAGCAACAATAATGGTATTTTCAGTCCCGCATTTATTGGGACTTTACTGAAAATACCCACCCCCCTAGATATTTGCTCATTTTGAAGGTAAATAGAAACTCTATTATATGGGTAGGGAAATAAGAAAGTGCAAGTTTCAAGTGAAAGAACAGACTAATTAAAATTTGAGCATCCCAGCAGTGATAGCTTTGCCTGAATAACTTCTATAGGCACTAAAGGACAAAAATTACCTGAACTGCAGCTAGCATTCATTTTGAATTATGCTTCAAGTAAGTTTAACAGAAGTTATCCCAGAAGGGAGCTCTCTTCCTTCAAAAGGTATAGCTGAGAAATTGTCCATCAGATGAGATGGCATGAGAAATCTGCTGCATCAGATAATTACAAATGGCCTTACACAATGAAAAAAAATTTGACATGCTAGGAGGCTCTTTGTACAACACTAGCTATCATGTACAACAGTGCTGTACAGAGAACATTAGTTACAAGCTACACAAATTGTAAATTTAAAATGGTAAAAAACCCGCAAGATGCAAAAATCCTTTTCTTGTTGGCATTAAAATCAAGTTGTATTTTTAATGGAATTAAAAATCACTTAAAAATGAGTCTCAGAGATTTTGCTGGTGTTCCTGCATGCAGCATCTCAGCTCAGTTAAAAAAAAAACCCTCTACTTACACATCCAGGAGCTTAACATCCTCATGGGCTAATTGCCTTTTCCTCTGGAGAAGAGGTTGGCATCAGCCAAGTAGGTAATAACTCTATATTTGGGTAAAAATTAGTACTGGGCACAACTTTTTCTTAAAATATTACCTGGTTTTGAGCTCAATCATGTTAAAAGGGGTCCTCATGCAGCAAACAAACATATACAAAGTGCAAGTTATTTAAAATCTAGTTATGTCGGGCTTCTGCTGCCTGAAGCCAGGAAGGGCACAGAAACTCAGAAGGAACCTTCTAAGTAAACAGAAGGAAGAAACAATTGAAAGCAAACTCAGGCAGCTACTTTTAATTGTTAAAAAGTTAGTGGTATACCAAGAATGTGTTTGCTAGAATTCACCTTTACTGAACACTGTATCTCTTCTGTCAGGTTGTTCAAAATAGCCATTACAGTAACAACAGTAGACTCAAATGTGCAAATGATCTTGAGTACAGAGTTCTAGCATCACTGAAGGTGCACTACTTCCTCCTTCACACTCCTACTCTACCCCCAAAAGGTGTTTAATTAAACATTAGCAGTAATTTCCAGAGGTTGCAGAAGGAATGGTAAGTTGTATGTGGCTGTTACACTCAAACAAGGACCTGAAAGAATCCCTCCAATAACGTTTAAGAAAAAAAGAAAATAAAAATAGCACCTTAAAGAGGGCCACAGCCAAAACCTGATCACCTGATGTAAGAACAGAGTGGTAGAACAATGTATGAGAAGTCTGTATATTTCTCCCAATGGGACTAAAATACTGACAGAGCTGATTGGACCATTTTCAGCTCCCTCAGATGCTAGAAGCCTGCTCCCGCTCAGCCTCCTTTGCAAAAAAAACTTCAAGGTCCATTAGCTTCTGACTCAGAAGAGCATCTAACTCTGCACTGTGTACTGCAGCTTTTTTTGCTCGGGTGAAACTACCCACTGTTTTGATTTTGCTTCGTGTCTTCCTTTTCCGGGGAAGAGTAAAGTCCTGAAACTCTAGAATCCGCTTTCTCTTCTGCTGGCTGACAGAGATCAAGCGTCCATTTTTCTCCTTGGGCTCTTCAAAGATTGTTTCCAAGCTCCTGGTAAAAGTAAAGGACGGAACTCATGAACACTCAAGAGGCAATTACCACCTTACAAGGACAGGGAGATAGGTGGATTTCATAACCCAAATAAACACACTTCCAAGTTTTACACTCTTAAAGTCTCTCCACAGCTCTTTTAACGTATACTTATCTACAGCTTACACCTCATACAGCTGCCCATTACCACTACCTAAATCATTTGTTATTGATGCATAGACATTTGGGTTGGATCTTTTTCTATCTGTGTTTCAGTTCAAGAGCACAATTACAGAATTTTGATTTTACAGAACAAATAGATTTGAATATTAAAAAAGATGTAGCAGTCTTGATAATCAAGCTATACTTGATGACAGGCAGTTATTCTTAGTATTTTACAGAATATTTAATTGCCTTTGAATTTTGAAAAAGTACTGTACTTGGATAGAGGCTGAAATGAATGAGTAGATGAAAAAAAAAAAACCCCAAACAAAAATCCATACTTAAACAGCTGCAAATTCTTAGTTCATATTCCATTCTACTGCTTTCCATCCAAATAGTAAAAGATACTATTTTTGAATTAACTTTCTCTACCACTTTAAACTACAGCAATTTTAAAAATCTATCTTCCTCTTAACTTTCAGACACCTTTAACATCCTCTCTCTCTCTGCCTAAGTAATTTACATTTATCTTAGTTTTCATCAGAACCAACCTGGCTGGAGGAGGGGACTTATAGTTCTTGTTTGTGTAAATTTCTTCTAAACTAAATTCTTTCTTCTTAAGCCTGAAAAAGTAATGAACAAATCAATTAAGAAAGAATTTCAAAACCACCTCTCTTCACAAGCAGATTTACAAGAAACAAGTATGGTTTGTGTTCTATGCCTAAATGCTAACTAATTATGCCTTAACTTATGGGCGATAGGGAGGAATGAAAAATGAGGTTGTTAAGTATCTAATTTCACAAAGTGTTTTTATAAGGTCTGGGTCAAAACTTGCTATTTCTGCAGAGGTCAATGCTCCTTCTAGCATTCTATGATGTTTTGAAATAATGATGCTCAAAAGAAGGGAAATCCCTTCCCAGGTCACCTTTTTATGGAAGCTAGGACAAGACGGACAGTGATTTTAAAAGTTAGCGATTGACAATTAGCAAGTTGACCTCCGAAGAAATGCATTCCTTTGTCAAAGCTGGCACTTCTGTTTAAGACAGAAGTGAACAAAATACTAGATGACTGATTGGAAGAGCTTTTACCAATATCTGGCACTGTGATTACCCACATTTACACTGAACTAATGTTTCCCTAAGATCATACACACTGAACAAAGAAGGGACTGTTAAGAACTCCAACATAATTTGCATCAGCAGAACTTCCTAACAGATCACTTCATCTCACTGTGCATTACAGAATGAATTATTTTCAATGTATGTTTATCGATATGAACTTCTTTCTTCAGAAAAATCATTCCATTGCAACTTAGTCTTTCACATTTTGCTGAAGAACAGGTAGTAGTTCAAATCCCATAGTCCTTTGTTTATCCCTTCTCACTTGAAAAAAAAGTTATGTTTAAAGAGGAGTTTCTTTCTTCAGTCTTTTCTACAGATGATACATCTGTGTCAGTCTTTTCTTATAAAGGAAGAATCAGACATCACTCAACTGAGAGTGTACAAAACAGTGGTGGTAAGAAAAGCATTTATTGTAGCCATTATTCTGCAGGAAATGTAAGCAACAGAAGCTAGTATGAGTCCATTTAAAAGGTACTGCTCACCTTTTTGGTTTGGGTAGTCCCATTGGAGTAAGGTTATGGTCCAGCTTAGGAACAGTTTTCCGGATTCGGATCTGTGAGACCTTTTTTGGCCTCTTTTCCAGCTCAGTCTTAAGAAAGAAAAAAATTAAAATGAAGAAATAATGACCACACTATTCAAGAGAATTCCCTCTTATGTTGAGTATACATTATTTATAAACATTCCTCTTTGTTTTGCCACCTTCTTTCTGCTTGAATAAAAGAAAGCAGCAGCACAGACCAGGACTAGCAGCCTGTATTCTCTCCTTGTCTTTAACAGTAACTAGGTAATGTTCAACAGCAGCAGCTTCAGCTTCTAGGGAACCAAGAGTGTGAGAAAACTAAAATAAACTCACTTTTTTCAATTCTGTGTCATCTTGGGATCCAAGACAGGCTGGAACAGAAGCATCAGCTTCATCAAGGGCATGGACCTGGAGCTCAGATGCTGAAAGCCTGCGGGGAGATGGCAATGACTCTGGAAGCGAGGAAGACTTTGGTAATGGAAGAGGGAATGAAGTTTCCAGACTGTAACAGAAGAAGAGGGAATATATGTAGACTAATACCCAATTTATGCTGCAACAACATTCCATGCTCTCGGGTGATGTTCCTAAATCACAGTATGGGCACAAAAACCCAATGCAGTTCACAGAAATTGCCCAAATAAGTGAACACTTTCTCTGGCACATACATACAGCCAAAAACTGCTGCAGCACACATTGATACTGAAACAAACTAAACTGCCAGTGTATTTGAACATGTAATTTTAAACAGTCTTTTCCTTTTCACATGGTTAAACAGTTTACAGCTCTATTTAGTATCTACTGATAGAAAATGATTAATTCTCCTTTTCTGCCAGCAAATTTGATACAACTATTAATTTAATACTTTTTGTTTACAGATAAATTTAAAATATAGCTTTTATAACTGCCACCCCAACACTGAAAAAGAATAGGAGGACGTTTCAGCACCTAATGTCCAGTCACTCAGACAGAAGGAACATACATCCAAGTAAGAAAAACAAACTTATATAGTTTCACATTTTGATTTCATAAGTGGCAAAAACATGATTCAAATTCAAAGAAAATGTGCAATGATCTACAGCGTATTTACATTAATGGTCCTCCACTTCTTCATTATGTGATCCAGACAGTTTACTTCACTAACACTTTAATCAGAAAGCTATTCTTGGAGTGAACTGCCGAAAGGTGAAAGCCAAAATGACATAAGCAAAGCTTATGATCCCACTACTCAGAATAAATATCAAAGTCCAAGAGACTCACCATATCTCATGACCTGCAGTCTGTAGTGCTTCCAAACACTGTACAGGTAAGTGCGGTAGCATGGCATTGCTGGTTCAAAAGAAGAATGGGAAAAAAAAAGACAGAAATTAAGTCTACACTATAAAAAAGATGAGGGAAAAGTATTAGTATAAACTGGACTGAAAGACAAAAAATGCTAATATCAGAAATGAGAATGAAAGACTAAAATGATACAAGAACAAGCCACATCTGCCATTTAGTCCACAGAATTTCACTGACAGATTGTTAGAGAAATAGTCCTATTTTAACTTAAAAATGGTAGTGATGAGAAAAGGAAATAAAAGTACAGAAAGAGATGGAGACAGTATTAGTCTGAAAGTGGTAATTATTTCTATGAAGGCCTATATACCTACTTCAAACCCCTCAGATTTTAAAATTAAAGTAACCAAAAGCATTGAAGGATTTGGCTACTAAATAAAGAAGTGCATAGCGGCAACAGTAACAAGGAAGGATTTTCGTAAGATTAACTCCCTGTTGTCTCCAATTCCCACAATCTTACTTGAATATTCTCAGTCTATTAGAATAACCAAAGGCCCTTCCATAAGGGCTGGTAATTACAATCATTCTATGGCATAAAAGTCAGCACAGCAGCTCTAAGTCCTTTCATATTAATCTTTAGTTTTGTGCCCATGCTATTAATAGCAGGAAAAAAAAAAATCAGCTGGGACAGCTTTTATTATATTAAACAACAAACCTCGTACTTGCTGTTCTCCCAAACCAACAGCTAAATATACTTCACTGTTCCAAAGCAGTTACAGCCAGACTGGGATGCTACAAAATAAATGAAAACCAACCATGCTGGCAGCACGGGGAAGTCCAAATATAAGGAAGTCAGAAAGACCCATTTCTTGTCTTTATCAGTTAAGAACAGAACTAAAAAATTTTGTTTCAATGTTCCACTCATTATCCCAACACTACTGGAATTTGTACCCATCGTGCATCAGAGTCCTCCATGTTTGAGGCAGAGCTGTTTTATGCAACAGTAATAAATTACAGGGAGAGAGAAAAAAAAAAACCACTTTGGAAATGATGAATCCAAATGAGCCTTAATTATAAAAAAAGATTTCACTTAAAGAATGCTTTATTACTGGCAGTGGAAGCAACAGAGAAAGATTCTTAGGCAGGAGAAACACTCTAGTTCCTTGTTTTCCTGGTTACTGAAAACCCTAACTATGAATTAAATAACTGAAAGAGGTCAAATCTCTTCCAGAAGAAAATGGCCTGCAGAGAACTTGGAGCCACTTTTTAATTTTTCTGATTTTTAACTATCCTTATCAAAACAGGCAAAGATTTGTCATACTGCACCAAGCATACATCTCGTATTCTTGCATTTATATACCAAATGTTTATTTCAGAGATAGTTTTTTTTGAGTACACATAAATTTAAGAAATGTTTACTGAATTATCCTTTTGTCACTGTTCCTGTTCATACCATTAAAACCAGAATTATTTATACAAGCTGTCAATCTTCAGCAAAATGGAATCTAAAATTGTGCTAAGTATTTAAAATATTTCATATTAATTTTTGCTTAACTGTTTTATGAATAGAAGTTATTTGCTGCACTTTAAACTTCTACAAACATTCTCTTCAACTCACAGCATGCTACAGTAGTTTCATCACTTTACAGAAAGCCTGAATGGGCAGAAGAATTAAGACTGCCTCATACACTTATGGTATTTTAGAGAGAAAACAGTTTTAGACTATTTTAACTTTGGGTTATTTTTCACTTGGAGTGATAATGTTTGATCTGGCTTCTCTCCTTCTGTGATAAAGATAATTCATAGCAAAACATTCAGTTTTCAAATGACCCTTTACATCAAGGAATTAAATCCTTTTATACTTTAGCTAACTGGATATGCTGTAACAATCTGCCTAGGAGTAGAACATGGGAGAAAACATGAGAGCTAAGTCAGCCCTGATCTCCCGGTCCAAGGGTAACATATACTCAACAATGCAAAATAATAAATTCACCTCCTACACAGAGGTTGTAAAAAGTAAGGTGTGCATTTTGTTTTTAAAGAATGGCAAGGATGTCTTCAATGTCTTTTTTTTTTTTTTTTTAAAAAAAAGTTTAGTGCTCGAACTGTAGTTTACGGGTATTACTTCCAGAGTACTAATCTGTACACTAGAAAATTCATCCTGATGTATTGATTTACATGGAATGAAAAAGAACGCAGGTCCAACAGAATGTGCTGCAAAGTTGTCTCTATGCAACTTCATTCTCTTAGCACAGACAATTCCCAGAATGGAGTAGATTACACTTTTGGTAGACATTAGAATTCATACTAACAAGTGATATACTTAAAACTTTTAGATATGTTATCCATTTACACAAAGCAAAATGCAACATTAGTTATCTAGTAAGGTTTTTGATTATAGATAGGTCAAGCTATGATGTGAGGTAAGCCAAATTTAACAGTTCTCTAGAGACTGCCTTATTAAAGAATTAATCAAAGGGACTTTTCTACAGTGCTCATGAGCCTTTAACTCTGCCCAGGAATCTTGAGACTATAAAATCAGGCTGAACTGCTCCATGGCACTGAGGCTTAAAGGGCAGTCTTTGCAAAAGAGCATGCAAAAATCCTGTAACAGAGCTAGGAACCTCTCATCTCATTCTGTTTTAGTAAAAAGCTCTCAACAAATGGCAATAGCAAAGTTAAATTAAATATGCAGAGTAGATTGCCGTCCTCTTCCCACTCATATTGAGAATGACACAAATTCATTACCAACCTGAACTGGAGCTACACTTGCTTGTGCGAACAATACACTGGGCACATACCATCAAAAGGCACAGCATACATAAAGAGGTTTCAATTAGCATAGAACAGTCATGGAATACAATTAAAAATTTAACTGAATGCCAACCCCCGCCCCTTAGGATTCTTCCTAATCTGATATTGAGCATTTTACAGTGGTTCCAAGCAGCACCTGTGGCTCAGACCTCTGAAAAAAACTTTCCTACCTCAGAAATCCAGTTGTTCTGCAGTCACTCTGAATAGAACTAATGAAGTAGCTCACCTTTCTGCATTATATATTCTGATGCATGGTGTGTAAATTTTGCAAGGGAGAAGAAAATAGAGTTAGCCATTCTGCCAAAACACGACAGTAATAAAGAAGTGAAGGCAAATATATTTAAATCCAGCTAACAGACTGTTTTGTATGGAAGAATCTTCCATACTGAGCCATTTTTGGAGCAGAATGTGTAGATTTGGAACAGGGGAAACTGACCCTCCAATGCAAGCTGCAATTACCCTCTCCCTCCCAAAAAGGAGCAAGTACATACCCTATACATATTTAATCTCAGAAATAAGTTGATGGGTTTTACCTGTTCTCGATGCCCACACTTGGCTGCCACTTGCAGTGACTGGAATGGAGAGGAGTGATTTCGGAGGGACAGGCAGGACCATGCTGACTCCATATGGATAGTACCCTGCCCAGTGAGTATGGCAATGAAGAGATGAGGCCATCTGATACACAAGTTGGATGCCTTGCCCCTTTCAAACCCTGTGCGAATTGTGATATAAATAGTCTCTGGATGGTAGGAATATGACTGGTTAAGTTTCTTCTTCTTGTCCAAATCCTGTAACATCCAGGGGAAGAAAGTGCTAACACTGTGTGAAGGCCAAGCATGGAGCAACCTCCTCTCCTTTCAGCTGCAGCATTTATTCTGTGGTCAGGATGAAGGGCAACAGTCCTTGGGGTTGTTACAGAGAGAGAGGAATGCAGCTCACCCCTTAGACTGAAATCTTCATTAAAAGCTGTTGTACCTGAACATCTCTGAGACAGCAGAAAAGAGAAAGTCCACTCTGAAGGTGGTGCTGGCATTTCTTCCCAAGCCGGTCTGTGATGTATGGAGTGCTGGGATATAATCCCTGTGAGGTCTGTCACAGGACTGGAGTCCAATTTTATGTGAAAAGAAATTGGGAAAACTGGGGTATCCAAGAAAGAGGCTGGAGGCTTGTGGCTCAAGTTTGAAAAAAGTATTTTGGTAGATTCTACAGAATAAAGTGCCAAAGGCTGAAAACTGAACATCTTGGTGCACCAACTGTCAGCCCAGCGTGAGTGTAAGTTTCTGTTAATGCAAGAAAAGGCTTCCAATAGATTTTTAGATCTACGTTGGCTATACCTCTCACCCACTGGAAGAATTTCAGAAGAATATGGCAGAGGTTCTGAGTTATGGGTGCTTTTGGCAGGTGCAAGGAGTTTGCTAGCCATTGCAGACAGCTTGCTCAACAATGCCGGTTCTTTGGTACATTTTCTAAATTTCAAGCTGTTCAACAAACTGCAACTCTTGGACCTCTGCCTTGGCATATGCACAAATCTCATGGCTGTTTCCGTTTCCATTGTTGGTGGTTTACATGCAAAGTACAAAGATTTGAGAAGTGGGTTTTCCTGCTTAGGCAATACTTCTGGGACAATCTCAAAAAAAGGTGAACTTTTAATTTTTTTGCTTTTTCTTACTGTTTTTAGCTGATATGATGTGGAAACTTTTTTGCACGCCCTTCCAGGCTGTCTTTTTAATGGAAGAGGTCCTCTTAGTTTATTTGTAATTCCAAAGGCACCAGGGATTCCATCATACCCTAAATTAAGGTTCAGGTTTTCTATTTCTGAATCCTGAGTCTTCAAAAACTGTGAATTAATAATATCTGTGGTAATCTTTGGCCTTTTGACTTCTTGTAAAGTGCTACATAGTTTATTTTCATTGCTTCTGACAGCAAAAATCTCCTCTGAAAGACCTTCAAACCTCATATTTCTTGATGTCACCAACTCATTTGAGGAGCTGCATAAAAGTTCAGAACTGTGCAACATACTTGGTTGCAGTGTGATTTTTCCTTTCTCTTGATATTCTGAGTTCTGTTCTTGTTGTGCCTTGTCTGAGAGATGTACTTCCATCTTCTCATAGCTGTTCTTTCGTTTAAGTACCCGACATTGCTTTATTTGATCAAGTCTCTCATTTTCCTTGCGATCGGAATGAGTTGGTATAGTGTCCTGGCCTTCTGTAATCTCCTTAACATTGTCTTTGCTCTGTGCATTTAATTTGTAAGGCACACATACTTCACTGCAAACCATGCAGTTTGGGGATGCATCTTTGCACCTGTTTGATAGTATATTCACATGTGGATAAAATGTGGGGGTTGTATTATACTGCAATTCTGGTGAAGTTTCTGCATCAGATGCAGCTTCAACTTGACAATCATGCAGAGTTTCTGAAAGTAGACTGGTAGTTGCTAAGTTTGTGAGCTTTATGTAATTTTTTCTTTCTTTTGAAAGATTATTTAGGTTAGATTTTGGGATTTCTTCCACAGTATTTCCATAATTTTCAGTACTGAGGACTCTTTTGCTACCAGAATCTTTTGAATCTTCTAATGAGGCCCATAGACAACCTTCTCCATCAAGAAAAGAATCTATGGGCAACTTTTTTCTAGGGACTACTTCTCTTCCCATCTTCTCTTCTACATATGCATTCTTAAACTTCTCTCCACAGCAAGAACTTTTTGGTGATGTCACATCCACGTCCTTCACAGTTAGCATGCTATGCCCCTCATCTCCCAGACTTTCTTCACTGTGTGCACAAACTCTTAAGCTTTTTGCACCATTCAGAAAGCCAGTTGCTGTTTCCTTCTCTGAAGTTGGAATCTCAGTATTGCTGGCTCTTCTCTTAACAGACCTTGTTACAGAAAGAGGTTTTGTCACTTTGCGAAAAACTTCAGTTGAAGACAAATCACAATTTCCTATTTGTGTATTCTCAGATGACATACACAGCTTTTCTTTCTCAGGCAGAGAGGTTCCCAAGTTCAGAGCTGACGGTGTTTCTGAATCCACTTGAGTATCTTCAAAAGGTTCCTGGATATCAAACTTGCCAAAATGGGATGGACCAATACCTTTTTGAGCATCACTTTCTTTACCAGGCTCAAATATTAACTGCAAGCAAGAGTTATTTAAGATAGATTTTATTCTCAGATTTTTTTTGTTTTCTGTCTCTGAAAGCACATTGGTATTTTCCGGCTTATATGACAGACTCTCATGAATTGATGAGAAGGCCAAATATTGGGCACTAACTGTATTTTCCTGATCCTCCATCAACAACTTCATCTTTGGCAAAGACTGCTGCATTTTGTTTCCTGCAAACACTAGCTCTGCTTTCTCTTTTGCACATTTGATAAAGCAAGCATGCTGTGAGCAGTGTGATTTGCTATCAGAAAAGCTTTCTTTGGGAGTTCCTTTATCTTCTCTTTCACATCTGTTCTTGTGTTCTTTTAGTCTGCCTGCCTTCTCTTCAATCAGATCACTGATGAAGCCCACGTATCTTGAACGGTCATCATTTCTCACACCATTTAGAGAGTCTAAATCCACTACATTCTCTTTTAGAATTCCTTGAACACTGTCTTCTCTTGCACATTTATGAACTAATGAAGGCAGGTCATCACTTGTTTTTAACAGCGTCTCTTCACTTTGACTAGAGCCAACTGATATTTTGGTTTCTTCTGCAGAAGTAACCATAGTTCGTAAGCCAGTGTTTGGTTGGTTGTTTAAACTTTCCAAATGTCGCTTGCTGCTTGGAACTGGGCCATCAAACTTGCTTGGACATGCAAGACACTGATTTTCCATTGGATGAATGGTCTTTTCTGTTTGGCTAGCATGTCGTCCTTGAATATTCATGTTGTTGAGTAACGGATGCGTATCACAGATTGAAGCACTACACTTGGAGGGATCAGCTACAGGTGAGGACGCTTCTTTCTTCTCAGATGCACCTAGTTCTCTCTTCTTTGGGCCTAATGGAGAGTTGCAAAATCCAAAATTACGAACACAGGTCTTTTTGTTCAAATATCTGCCTAATAGCTGTTCACTAGTCTTATTTCTTTGATTGCCTTCCAAAGCCTTTGAAGAATCCACAGTTCTTATTTTATCATCTGTCTGGAGAGCACACATGGCGATTTGTTCTTTTGCCTTATCTCTATCACAAACACTTTCACTTCCATCTGTTACTTTACGGAGATCAAGTTGTTTCACAACCTCCATATTCTTATTTGAAATCTCATCTCTTACCAAGGTAGCAATAGACTTCTCTGCAGTATAAGCTGAACAAAACATGTTTTTTGCTGTGGAAATGTCATTTGTCCCATGCAGATCTACACCTCTGTTGCCCCAGTCATCTTCGTGAAGAAGACATCCACATGCTAAAGGCAAGTGTGCTTCTGGAAAGATTATTGCCTTTTTACTGTTATAGGCAGCAGAAGCTTCTCCTTCCAAATTAACATTTTCTTCAATCTTCTTATCAACATCAACATTAAAAGAGTAACTGTTTAGGAGAACATCATCTACACATGGGCTCCTTGATAAAATACAGGAAGTACTGGCAACTGTACACTGGTCTTTTATACTCCAATTATTACAATTCGTTGTGTCTTTGTGTTCATTTTCTAAACCAGTGACCATATCCTCCGTACTTCCTGATAAAGACTTCGTGTTCTTTTGGGAAATTTTGCTTGTCAGATTAAAGTTATCAAAAGTCCTGGAACTTACTGAAGACTTGAATTTGTCTTCATGAAGTATGATTTCAGCAACTTGTTCCCCCATTGTTCCAGAAGCACCAATTGATTCTTTTCCAGACAGATTATCCTGAGCCTTGTTCCTGCTTGAAATTTTATTGGCAGTACGAGGAGGACATTCATTGTGATGAGATTCTCTTGATTTTTGTGCAACAGGAGGTAGAGTTATATTTAGTGTAGAAATCAAATTAGTTTCTTTGCCAGTGGACAAACTGTCATTACTGTTAGCTTCTGCAGCATCAACTAAACTGTCAGCCAACTCTTTTGGTGGTGTATTACTCTCAGATTCCTTTCCAAGCAGTTGTGTCTCAGACAAGTCTTTTTCTAGCTTGGTACTAAGATCCAGATAGCTGTGGCTACTGGGAGGAGAAATTTTACTGGAGGTCTTATAAAAGAGTCTGCCTGTCTGTCCAATTTCATGGGAAGTGATGTTGCTCATTTCCATCAACAGACTATTTTCTTTTCTATCATCCTTCCATAGATCACTGACAGAGGATTGCCACAGGTCTTTTTTCAACTTATCACCTTCTGATGGGACCATTTTAAGTTTTTCTTTTGAGAACTCCTCAGGAGATGAAGCAACAGAACTAAAAACTGAAGAATGACAATGCTCAGAATTAGCACCCTCTTGAGCTTCAGGCCAGTTACGAACTTCAACGTTATCTCCCACAGCAATTTTTCTCCGAACTTCAGCAGCCTCTTCAAGTTCAGAGCTGTATGACTTAACTGTACTACCACTTACTTCCCTATGATCAGTTTTAACACTAGGTAATCCTTTGCTCCTTACCACCAAGATCTGCTTTACTGGTATGGATGTGGAGGTTTGATTTTCTACAAACTCAGTTCCACAATCATAATGAGTCTGACTTTCAATTTTTGGGGTTTCATTGATAATTTCATGGACTGCAGCACTATTGTTTTCTAATGGCTTATTTCTAAAGTCCAAATAACAGATGCTTTTCAGAACTGAATATAAAACTTCAGAACTTTTTGTGGAGAGTGTTCTACAGCTTTCTGCTGATGACAGCCTATGAGGTTCATTATGTTTAGGTACAGGACCAGTACCGAAACCATGAGCATTGTTTTCTTCATCCTGCTGATAAGTCTGGCAATTAGCAAGTGATGTACTGAATTCATTAACAGGATTGCGCCTGGGTACCTTTTCGTCTCTAGTGTCCAACATAGTTACAACATTACCCCCTGTTCTCAACAGCATGGCAGTATGGGCTTTCAACCCATTATATTTATTTGTTTCTTGTGGATGCTCTGTGGCTGATTCAACATCCATGACTTTTAAAGGCTCTAAAAAATCTAACACGCTGGTTTCTGAAACCCCAGCTCTGGCCATGACTGTGTCTATGTCTGGGCACGCAGTGCTCTCAGGTGGAAGACCTTTACTCACTCTGGCATTCCTGTATCCTGCTTTACTAAATATCCTAGTCCCATCAGCCTTCATACCTTGTACTTCTTCAGTGAGCTTTGGCAGAGTTTCAGCTATCACCTGAACATTTGCTTGGTTTTCTTCTGCATGAGAAAAAAAATAAAGCAAATCAGAGCCATATACTAAATTTAGAATGCATTCAGCTTACTAAGTTTATTCTAGTATCGTACACAATATTGTGTTGGTTACCAAAATATTTTTAAAAGTGAAAAATGATGCTAACAATTCTACAAGCCTTTAGAAGAAAAAAACTACCCCCACCACAAACCTACATTAACAAATGCAATCCTTTTCAATACAGACATTCCCCATGAGCAGCAGGCATCCAAAGACCCGTATTTTTCAGATTCCTCTAATACCAAGCTAGGTGTAATGCAGGTCCTATGACTCAATACTTAAGCATTATGGTGTTGGCCATGACTTCCTATTTGTACCATAAAAATTGAACATAGCTGAGTACTTTATCTGCTCTGTCCTAGAAATATGGCTGTGCATTGAGCAGCCATTTCCATTTCTTCCTTGAAGGCATTTCTGTCAGTAAGTTATCCATAGGAAAACAACACATATCTTATTCTGTCTGAGCAATTATGATTATTACTAAGCTTTTTTTGTAAAATCACAACGAAGGTGCGAATTAAAAAAAATACAGTTACTGTAGAATATCTTCATATTCAAAACTTTACAAGGAACATATTCACTCAGACTTCTGCAGACCTTTTTTATATTTTCTACTAAGGACCAGGACTAGATGGCATTCCTCAACTAGGAGCAAGTTTTGGTCATGACAGCATGGAGGGAGAAATAATTACTAGATGCAGGCAAACTGACCAAAGCATTTGGAGCTAGAAGGTTACAGATCATAACGAAATTAAGAGTTAATTTTGTTATCTTCTTCCTTTGGATTCTGCACTTTTATTTTTTAAAACATTAGGAAATTAATGAGTCCTACTTTTTCACTGCTGTCATATAATCCAGCTTTGAAACAAAACGAAATGCAAAACATCTGCTATCAAAACACCTTCTGCTTCAGGGTATTTTAATTAAATAACTAAAACACATCTTGTACATAAAAGGTTTTCAGGAAAGTACACATGCTGTCAGGAAAAAGCAAAGGATTAAATTTTCATATTGTTCTAGCTATGAAGGGTAATAGTTTCTACTGTAAAGCAAAATAAATAAGCTATCCCACAATCACTCAATTTTAAATCAACAAAAGGTAACCTGGAAGAGAAGCAGGAGGTATGTAAGGATGTACAGCTAAAATATGCACCTGTGTTCTTCAGAGATCCTGCTACTTCAGTGCAACAGGGTCTTGAAGACTTCACCTCATGCTGGTTTAAGTGAGGGTCCTCCTGAAACAAGACAAATATCAGTGGAGATTCATCTGTTTTCTGAAATATTTTGCCTTTCAGGGACTGTACGTGCTCAGCTAGGTCAGTTCTGAGTGAGAAAGCCACCAAGAAACAGAACACATCAGCCCTTGCAGAGGCAGCCTTGCATTGCAAGTGGTTCACGTGAGCACTTGTTATTCCCTTCCGATCCCATCAATCACTATCATCTCACCATTAAACAATGATGCATCAAGATTTGTATTTAGCAGCAATGAACTCTTGCGATGCAAACAGCTAAAATGTAAGTGGCTTAAAATGCAAACTGTCACTAGCCTCCAAGTGTATCTCACACCCCCAAGCCATTACTGTATACCTCTGGTAAGATGCATACATTTTCTAATCTTTATTAGAACTTGCCGCCTTCTACCACTCCTTCCCTTGGCTCAAAAACACAAACCCAGCAACAGACAATTTAGACCTACTGGCAAAAAAAACCCCAAGCCAAACCAAAACAAGACCCCAGAACCAAACTACCTGCATTTTGCAATATGTGAAAATTCATCTTGGAAAACTGAATGACTGGAAAATTTAATTTTCAAACTTTCAAGTTAATCAAACAGATACAAAAATCCAGAGTTAAAATAATGAAGTATTTTAGTATTATGCAACATTGCGTAATTAGTGCAAAACACACAGCCAATCCTGATATTTCCTGGCTGATAGGTCAAGATGTTTTTTTTCACCCCAGTGTTCTTTTGGTGTGGGTGAAAACTATTTACAAACTAAAGAAAACTGATCAAGAAAGTCACCAAAAATCTCAATTTTTAAATAGAGTTTTTTGGGATTCTTCATTTTTTAAAAAAATATTATTCGGCACATTTTTCATCAGCCTTTGCCTAAAAATAACATTTTTATCATCAGTGTTTTCTAGAGTGGAGGGGAAAAAAAAGCCATGACCATGCAAGTCTTTTGTTTTGAATGTGGAAAAAGTGATTTCATCTCTAATTAAAAAGAATAATTTAAAAAATGAAGAATAATCTTTATTTTTAGATTAAAAGCTGAAATACTAAACTGGAGTCCCCTGTAACATTATAATACTATTACCAGACTGAAATAACTATTATTTAGTGGTTAGTACCTTGACTGGGGATGATAGTACTGGCAGAAAATGCTGTACCGACAAGATACAGATAGTGGGCATGGAACTTTTTGGTTTTTTAGTCACCAGTCAGTTTTGTTCTTCATTCTGTTACATACCTGCCTCACACCATTCCAACAGTAAGGAAGCTAAAAGTTTAATATTTTAAAATACTGCTGGTCTACTGAAGTATAGTCTAATTTTTCACTGGACCCATGATAATCCAAATAATGCCACACATGCCAGAAAATACAAATAAGAAACATGAAACCACACAAAGTCCTCTGCCTAGTCACTCTAATCCTAAATTCAAAATATCACGCAGGGATGAATTTTTTCATTTGCTTACTTGCTTTGACCAACTTTCCCCAGGAGCTAAAGCACAGCATTCAGCATGATACTCCTCAGCATCTTGTGCCTCTTCATTTTCTTTCTGGTATTCATCACCAGAACAGTCTAGTTTCCTAAAGTTTCTTTTTCTGTTTTTTTCGTTTTCTTCAAGGTCTTCAGCCTTTAGTAATTCTTCAGTAAGGGATTCTGCTGGCCCATGAGAAATCACCTGGAGCGTATCACCCAAATCCTCTGTCTTCTGGCAAAAGTTTTCTACTCCAGAGGTGCTATGATGCTCAGCTGACAGACTGTCACTGTGTGCTAATGTTGAGACACTGGATTTTGCATCTAATCCCATGTTAGGCTCCGATACAGCCATAAGTTCATCAGAGATGCTCTCTGGCAGTCCAGTGTCCAATTCCTCTGTTACAGCAGACACAGAGGAATTAAGGAGAGATTCCCCCCCAGATGATAGCATCGGGGCAGTTTGAGATTGGTTGTCCTGAGCTTGCCAGAGTTTACCCTAAAAACAAAAGCAATGTTAAAACAAGATACACAGAAGTAAACTCTAGATTAAAAGGGAAGGCTTAATTCTCAAAATTCAAGCATATATGTTTAAGAAAGATACTTACAAATATTTTTCTAAAAAACGAGAGGAGAAACATTTTGACTATCTAAGCAAATGCTTCACTAACAAGAGCCGAGAGTATGGACAAATAGATATTCCCAAGCCTCCCTTTTACATTCAATTGTCTTCTTGGAGATAAAACCTCATCTTCTGGAAAACCTGAAAAGAGGCTACGAAGCAAGTAACTAGGGCTTGTATCAGGCGTCTGCTTCTTATCTAAAGCATCATTTGTTTTCCCGCGATTTGCTTCAGTTTCTAATATTTGGGGAAAAAAACAACTTCTCTTCAAGTTTTCTGCCTCAAAGGCACGCTAGGACATCATCCACCATCCGCTGTGCCTGCAGCTTCTCTCAAACAAGCACCCGACCCGCTTTTCCACACAGCCCGGCGCCGGGCTCCTCTGCAGCCCCAAGGGCGGGCCCGGCTCCCTGCCGGGGCAACGATTAAATGATTTATTGATATTTTAAACAAAACAATGAAGATGGAACCTTGAGGTAGTAAACAGTATTACCAGCCAGAGTTTGGAAAGCTCTTTTTTAACAGCAAGATACAGCAGAATAAAATTGCATTAATGGGAACAGAACAATATTTCACCTGTGAAACAAAATGCTTTATTCCATCTCTTCCACTTTTATTGCATCACTTTTCTTTTAACCTTGTATTTCAGTCACTCTAGTGACAGACATGTCAGTGATTTATGACTGCATGTAAATGTGTTTCTGTGTACTAAGAACAATATAATTTATTTGATTGCTCCCTACTTCTAGACTTACAATATGTTAATAAATCTTGTTAAGATTCTATAGCTATCTACTTTCCTGCTAGTGTCATATGAAAAATATGAAAAATGTTTCTGCTTGCGTGAGGCGCATTCTTTTGCTGAACAAATCTTCTATGAAAGTTCTGTCATTTGAAAGACAAGTTTTTGCCCACAACAGTGGCCATACTGAAGTAGCTGGACAGGGGCACTGTCATGTAGTGGATGTAATACATTGGTGACGTGTTAATCCTGGACTATGTAGGCATCTGTGTCTGGTATGTATCTGTTCATTGCAGTTTTCCTCATGCACTTCTGTCTTGTAGATGATGAACTGGTGGTGAATCCTAAAGTATTTCTTCAAATCAAGCTGGGAGATGTTGTGGAAATTGCACATCCCAATGATGAATACAGGTGAATTCTCTTACTATCAGCCAGGTGTGGTTATAGCACTGAAAGGGCATGTTCATGTGCAGCAGCTTCTAGAGTGAGAGACTCTTAGAGCTGATGTAACTTTGCTTCAGGATGTTGCATTTTTTTTTTCTGCCTGAAGAAAAGTCAAGGGCATATCTGTAGCAGGAGCTCTTCCTTAAAGTTTATGTAATTCTTTGGTTTAGTGTTAGTTTGCTGACCTTTCATAGGGTAAAGTAGCACCTGAATATAGAATCTACAATGTCTTTATCCTCTTCGTAGAGTTGCTGTTACCTAGTGATTGTTCTTCCATCCTATAGTATATTCTAGGCAAAATTAAGACTTCCTGGTCAGCTAAAAAACCTAAACCTTCTTATATGAAGCTGTTCATCCTGCAGCCTGTATCTGAAAAGTAGCAATATACTTATATGAGGTTCTGAGAAGTTCCTGTGTGACTGACTTTCCCCTTCACAGTATCGTCTTTACCTAAAGAGTACCTTATAATGGGTGTAAAGAACAGGACAGGGTGACAGGCAGAGAGGATGATGTATGAAGCTTTCTACAGAATATTAATGTTTCTCTTTAGCTTATCCGATGCTCCATGTTACTAAAGAGTTTTGAGAGAGTGATTTACCAGAGTAGACTATTGGTATCTCAACTTGTCTACCTTTTTTCTGTTTTGCATTCTAGTCCTCTGCTTCTACAGGTGAAGTCACTTAAGGAAGATTTGCAGAAAGGTAAAACTCTGGGCACATAGTAAAATCATAGACAAAGATTATGTGATTGGGCTGTACCTGTGCTTGACTAATGTGTATATTTTAACTTTGTAAGAAAATCAATGCTTTGTCTCTTTAGGAATGGAAGGATTATAATTTTATCAGAAAATGAATAACCAATTTTAAATCTTCTTTTGGTTGAGTAATATAGGGTATAGTTTAAACAAAATTGTCTTTTTAGCAGTAGGTTTTTGTTTCTGCATTCTCTGACTAGCTTTATATCTACCTATGGGAATTAATTCAGCCTAATCTTTGACTTTATCTTGCCTGCTTTGATTTTAGTGACTCTTAAATTGGGCCATAACTACAAGAAGTTGTCTTTTGCTGAGGCCCTAAATGTTTCATGACAGTCTCACTGTATTGTTTTTATACTTGTAAACCACTTGAAACCCTTTGGGGATGTTCACTTCTCTATTGTCCTTTCTCATTTTTGTGGCAGAAACTATAAGTGTGGATCAGACAGTTGCACAAGTGTTCCGGCTGCGGCCATACCAGGATGTCCATGTGAATGTCGTTGACCCAAAGGTGTGTGGCTTTGCAACTTTTTTCCATCTGTCCCTTCACTGAGCTCAAATCAGAGCCCTGTAAATTTCCATCTACAGTAGTACTGGAAAAAAAGGGATTTATTTTTTAATTTTTTATTGAAAGGTATTCTTTCCTAAGAAAATGAGGCTTGGGCAATTAAACTATTTGTTTTTTTGATACCTGTCTCTTTCTTCTCTCCCTACCATCCCTACTCTCTTTTTGAACTCTGTGGATCAGCTTCAACACAGCTTGATAGAAATTTAGAAATTTCGCATATCTTTAAATTCCATAAACTCAGGATAACCAGGCAGAGTAAAGAGGAACAGCAAGTGGCCTAGTCAGAAGACGACCCATGGCATGGATTTGCATTATTTGACACCAGGCAGCCTTGGAAGAGAGGCATCTCTTGTAAATGTCCCAACTATCAAAAGAGCTTACATTCAGCAGAAGACAAAAATCAGCAGGAAATGAGGCTTCCTTAATGTCACGAACAATGGGAATAATTTGCTTTACTTGTGCTTCCAATTTGCACTGAGACTTTTAGCACTTGGCCTTTTTCTGGTCAAATTGTGCAGCGTCTTGCAGTTCATGGTAGTTGCAGGTACATGCAAAACTGTGGCAGTTGTTCTGATGGAACTTTTATCTTCCATCTGTTAGGTGTATTAACTTGCTTTAGAACAGCCCTCTCCCTAACATTTGGTTCTTACAAGAACAGATTGAAGGGCACAACTTGGAAACAGCCAGTAAAATCTAAGCACTGTTTTTTTTCCATTTCCCAGGAGGTGACCTTGGACTTGGTGGAGCTGACCTTTAAAGATCAGTATATTGGGCGCGGGGATATGTGGCGACTGAAGAAAAGTTTGGTAAGGCCTCTACTGTCCTTATGTGTAGGGTGGAGGAGATTATGTCTATTTTCCTTTGCTTGCTGTCAAAGAAAATAAGTGTTTACAAAATACAGAAGACTGAGGATAAGACCAGTATCAGCACCTCCTGAGGAACTTCTGCTTTAAGTGGTACATCAGAGTCAGAGTAGTGGATGTAAATGTGTTGCAGAAAAAAATAATCCTGTCACTTCCTACTTCATTGCTGTAATGTTGATTACTGCCTTGGGTCCTGAAAATGCCGTTGAGAGGGTATTTTTTTTCTTATGTTCTGAATTTTAATGATTTAATACATTTGGAAGGAATTGAATCCAGATGTTTTTCAAGTAGAAGCACACTGAAGTATCCCCTCTCTGAGGGCACCACTTAATAAGCAACTATTAGAATATTTTGTTTCTGCATCTCTGAAGTGCAGTTTTTGGCTTTTCTAAGTGCAGTGAATTAGTAAATTGGTCTGCTTATTATGAGCCTACTGTTCTTTTAACACCTTACTATTCTTTCTTAGGTCAGCACATGTGCGTATGTCACCCAAAAAGTTGAATTTGCGGGTATCAGGTCAGTGCCTCCTCTGAGGGCTTACTGTTAGTTATGACTTTAGAGTAATGAGACCATAGTAGCCAACTGGGGAATCTTCTCTGAAAAATCCTTCATGTTTTAGTGTTCTTTTACTCTTCTGCATATTTCTGTCTGCACTGTGAGGTGGGGGAAGGCTTCTGTCTGATTTGGGGTGGAAGAAATTAATAGTAGGACAGCCAGCCACACTTGTTGCCTCTGATGAATGCCAAATAATTTTTCTTTCGCCTCTTAAGATAATATTTTCCCTGCCCTTCCCAAGATGTATTCATAGTTCAGATGAGAGTCATTTCAGTTGCTGTTGAGATGACAAAGGGACAAGGAAATATGCAGATGCAGGGGGAAATGGCTGTTTGACATCTTTTGGATTAAAGATCAGGTTTTAACCAAATAAACTACTCTGTCTTCAAAGTCATCCTTGAATGCAGATTTTGGTACATTCCTTATTTGGTCAGATATTGAGTCTATAATATTCATATTCACTCTGCTTAGCAAGTATTCTACACTCCTTTCTTTCAGGGCTCAGGCAGGTGAACTGTGGGTAAAGAGTGAGAAAGTCACTTGTGGATACATCAGTGAGGACACCCGGGTAAGATTTCAGGGAACAGGGGAAAGGAAGTTTTTCCTTTCCTTTGCTTGCCGGGGTTCCTGTAATTCTTACTTGCAGATTTGTGTGGATCATTTTAATTTTCTGTGTTGTAAGGTGAAGAATGGCAATAAATTCAGGAAAATAGTAATCGGTAAACTTCAACTCTTCTGCGCTGGCAGCGCTAGGAGTTACATGGGCTGTTGCAATGCCAACTTGTTAGAGGGGAGATTCCCTATGATGCAGTGGGCACAGTCATATAAGTTGCTCTGTAGTTAATTTTTTCCATTTGGGCCTTTTACTGAATATACCTTGTTTTAAATAAGATCTTTCATTCTTTTGCAGGTGGTCTTCCGCTCCACTTCTGCCATGGTTTATATTTTTATCCAGATGAGCTGTGAAATGTGGGATTTTGATATTTATGGTATGTAGGTAACTGACCTGTCTGATTGTGAATGTGGATGGCAGCAGCTATCCTTTCTGCCGCGGCTAGAAAACTGCCACAACTATTTATTTCTGTCACTACTAGAGAGCTAAAATATCCTGCCTTTGGCCCAGGCAGTGCTCTGAAGTGTGCTGTGATGCCTTCTTAGATCTTTACTTGCAGTGCCACACTTTTCTGTGTCCTGGGTAGTCCATCTAATGTCCCTACTGTAGGCCCTGGGTACCATTATCTCAGGGATGAAATCAAAGGGCCAACTTGACTATGAACCTTGGAAAGGTTTTCTGTGGATATGAACATTTGGTGATGAGCGTA